AAGGGTCCAGAGTCCTTATCCATGACAGAATCTTTGTAGATCTTCTCTGGGAAATGACTAGAAAATGCCATGTTGTGCTATGAGGAAGTGGGTGTTTGAACCAATGTAAAGCACCTTCTTTAAGTGCCCAGAGAAAAGGCAAGGATATAGGAAAATGAAGTGGGTCATAGGCCCTAAATTGGATAAAGGTAGTTCAGAAGGACATATACACCCGTATGTCAGATCCCTTGTATGGCTGACTTGTTTTTCTGTAATGTTTGTATGTCACCCTTTGTCCCAGGAGCTCAAAGTGGTGCATATCAGAATATGCTATTTTATCCTCCCTACAACCCCATGATGGTGGAGAACAATTGAGCTTGGCATCTGTGGGGACTTGACCCTAAGCTTTCCTATGCAAACCTAACACTGCTGACCACACCACAAGCGATCGATCTATCAGGGAAATGAATTTCTAGAAGATTACGTTCATCATTTTGGGTCTGTGAGTCTTTCGTTGCCATGCTTCCTTGGCTTGGCTCTAACCCCAAGGATATGATTAAGTTAACTTTCTGTAATGCTGCTGGCTGCATGTTCTCTTGCTCAAACAGTGTTCTCACGCTGTTTAACCCACCAGAAACCAATTAGCATGTGCAAAAACTGTGAGGTGCAGCAGAGTCAGAATCCAGCTAAAAGGCTGCTCTGCGTAGGACTGCTTTTCTAGTGGAGAAAGGGTCAGAGCTCCCAGATGTCAGGTACTGGCAAGACAACTAGTTTTATTTCATCGTTTTCCTGATTATTATAACCTTGTATTGTTTTATCAAATGGAAACTTAACAAAACCTAAACAATAACATCATCCCACCTCTGATTGCCTGCCTTTTCCCGTCATTTCTATCTCGTGCATACTGCAGTCTCTTTCTCTCTCTCGCTCTTGCAAACACACGCCTGCCCGCCCACATGCAATAGAGCTGCTTTATGAGCTTTCATTGGTGCTCCCAGGTGATATCTATTGAACATTTCTTCCTCCCTTCTTCACTGTGTGTTCATGATTTCTAAACCTCCATTCAGATTCTTGGCGAACTTCCATTCAGTCCTTGGTTGCATGAAAACCTTGGTGGACAGAGATCCTGGTTGCTAATCTGCTTGAGCGGACAGCCATAACTGGTTTGCTGAGTTCAAAGTCAGTGACAATCTGGAAGGAAGTTTAGAAATCGTGGCACATACGGGAAGTAGTAAAGGGAAGAGGGAGAGGACGCATGTAGGCCTGAGGCTCATACAGGCATGGCTGAATGCTGTTGTTATACTCAAGAACAGCACTGCAGCATTCCCCCATTGCTTTTGCCAAAGCTTTTAAGCCTCTTTGAGTGCCATTTTTCTTGGTAGAAAGGGGCATATGAATCAATAATACATTTCTGCTGGGTGAGAGAAGCAAAGAACTGGAGCCCTGCCTCCGTCCTTCACACCTTCATCTTGAAGCAGGAAGAGGAATTGCTGGATATGCTGTTCTCACCTTGTGGGGATAATGATACTGTCCTACCATGAGGAATTGAAAGAATTGCTTAGCGATCTGAACACTCAGAAAGCATCATATAAACGCGGTATTATTATTAAGGTGAGCTCTGCTAGGTCAGATCTGGCAAACTGATGCCTTCCAGGGGGTTTTGACTACAGCATTCATGATCCCTCACGGTGGGCCATGTTGACTGGTAATGATGGGAGCTGTGGTCCAGAATGATCTGAAGGGCACCAGGTTCCTGGAATCCTGGATGCTGTTTCCTGCAGTGGCGCACCGGTGCCTGTGGGGAGTGACAGGAGGAGGGAGTGACAGGAGTGACAGGAGCATCAGCTCTCCCCTGTAGTCTGGCCAGGGGTCCCCTGCTTCTGAAAACAACCAGCTTTGCATAGCACTTGAGAGTTTTTGGAGACTGCAGGTGGAGAGGGGGCTGAGTCTGAGAAGGGGAAAACAGCCTGGCTATGGCCAGCTGGCAAATCCATGATGGGCGCAAAATGGAATCTGGGACTGTCTGGCCCAGCATCCAATTCAAAGCCACTGTGCTACATCAACAGGGTGGCAGTGTCTGCAACATGTTTATTTTCGTTCTGGGTTCATTCCCTGCCAGCATCCCCCAGCCAAATGGAATTGGGTGGTGTGAAGGTCTGCCTCTTTGCCTGAGCCTCTGGAAAGCTACAGCCACTCAAAGTGGATAGTATTTGGCTTGATGGACCAGTGGTCCAATCCAGCATAATGCAGCTCCCTTGGAGATACTTTTAAAATAGCCACAATGCATGCTCCTCACACGTGCAGTGCTTAGGCCAAATCCCACATCTCTGCTGCTACTTCTGATATCAGATTGGAGGTAACTGGGGATTCCTCCAGGGGGCCATGGCCTGCCCCCCCGGAGGAGGCTTTGTGGCCTGGGTGGGGAGCATCTGCAGGCCAAAGGTTCCCTGTCCCTTGTTTGGCAGAGCACACACAGCTTTGCTCACACACATTCCAGGTTTAGTCCCTGGCATCTCTACCAAAAAAAATGAGGAAGCAAGGGATGGGAAGGATCTTTGCTGGGGACTACTGCTGGTCAGAGCAGACAACCATAGACTCTGTGGACAGAGCGTCTAACCTGATAAAAAGGCCACCACCTACATTCTTGTGAGAGGTTGCCCATGTGCACTTCAAGAAAACCCAAAAGCTGACCTGGAGAACTATAGTTAGCAAAGCAACTACCTAGAGATAGTCAGAATCCAGGCCAGTCTTTTCTTAACAAATGTGAAACAAAAGAATACAAGAGATGTTCATAACCTATTTTATTTTTCTGTATTTATTTAATCAACAGGTATTTATTGCATTTGCCCCCTTTCTATTAAAAGAGCCCTGAAGGCAATTCACAGTAAAATACAGAAAACAATGACAAAGTTATGTTTGGATCCTTAACACTCATAGCTTAAAAGCATGTCCAGTGAGACACAAATAAAAATTAAAGTCCACTGGACCTCGATGACACTGTAGGATGCAATTAAGAGAATAAGCAGAGAAAATAATCTCCAGGATCATAGGCAGCCTCTCTGTAGTCGAGCCAAATACAAACCTGTTCCCAAAGCCTATTATATATATGTTATGATTGTGTTAAAAGGGAGAGAGAGCCAGACATCTGTCCCAGAGCCTCTTGCTGCCTGAAAAAGCCATTGCAGAAAGGAATCCTTGAGCGGCATCAAGCAGTGGAGTGAATTCTGCTTTTTAATGGGGGACATCAAATATATTCTGCGCATATGTCACTGAACACGGCAGGATGGGATGCTTTCCAGTCAAGCTATCTTCAGGGAAGCAAAAGTATTCCTGGAAGAAGTGATAAGCACTAGCAGAGTTCGGTGTGATAGTTATTTTCCATCTGAAAAAACAAAGATTGCTGCCTGGTCCATAAATAAAAACCCCAAATTATGGTGGGCTGGGAGAACCAAACAAAATGCCACAGAAAGTATGCAAGGTTTTGATCATCTTGGGGCCCAATAGCATATGCCCTGACAAGCCTTAATCAGCCTGATGGGAGTTGTAGTCCCACCATTTTTGGAGAGCTACACGTTGCCTGCCCTTGACCTAGCTGGATTAAGTGTTCTGGAGAATGAAAAAGCTTGTACAAACTTTTGGTGCATTTTGATTAGTCCAAATAAAAATACTGTCTGACTAGATTCTGGACTCCCAGCCCCATACCATGGATTTTGGATCTTTTACTCCTGCTGACTGCTGCAGAATAAGGTGGCTGTCAAGCCATCTAATGCCCTGTAACCGGGATTAAATCCACATTCAACCCCGAAACTCAGTCAGTGACCCTTGGCCTGCTTCTGCCTCCCTTTCCTAGACTTAAACTGCGCTGCAGGTTTGCTGGGAGGATAAATGGCAGGATGAGCCTTCTATACCAGATTTCCCCAGAGGAATCACTCTGTCTTAAAAAACCAGTCTTATAGTGGTTTGCTTTTGTGATTCACTTAAATCTGTGTCATCCGTTTGGAGCGGGAGCACAAAACGCAGTTGCCATGAGGACGCTCGGAAAACTGGCCTTCAGGTGGTCTCTTGCGGCAGCTGCTCCTTTTTTGGGTAGCCACACAGCCATGAAGATCTGTGCCCTCCTGTCCTGCGTCTCCGTTTGGTCCCCTGCAGCTGCTGGGGCCAGGGAGCGGCAGACGGATGGCACTGATCCAGGGGAGCAGTGGCAGCGACTCTCCACTGACAGACTGTGTGGCCTGCACTGAAGGGCCGCCCGCTTTGGCCGATGGTGCAAATCGACTCTACTGAAACCGTGGTGGTGAAGGGGGGGTGTATCTATGGTCTTTGACCTGTTTGCATACATGCAGCATCCACTGATCGTTTGCACAGTCCTTATATGATGAACATGCAAAGCCTCAAGATTCAGAGGAGAGGGTAATGGAAGAACAGTGCTGCATGTGATCGCTCCCTAGTTCTTGCTCCACATTCTCTCAGTGTTTTTCTTGCACATGTGAAGCATTCTAAAAGAAGTAGTAGGACTGACCCACCTCCAAGTTTCCACTAATTGGCATTGCTTGGGCCACATGCAGATCCCTCCTGGCCAGATGGCCGAGCTGTTCTGTGATGGGTCCTGTGATATTTCTGCGGTGGACTCTTCAGCAGTAGGGCTTGAATTGCAGTCCAGGCGCTGGCCAGCTCAGAGGCCGCTCCCCTTTCAGGGACTGGCAAAAAGTGCAGCTGTGCTTGTGGAAATGGGAGGGCTGGAGGATTTATAGATTTATTTATTTTTACAGTCAGATGCATATGCAGCTTTCCACAAAGGTATCTAAGCAGTGAAGATAAATACGACGGCACAAAAGCAATCCTAAGTAGTACAGTTAAAAGCATCCTGATGATCAGGAATCAAACCCCACAGTCTACCGTGATCAGGAATACAAACGCACCGTCTACTGTGGTTTGTAGTGAATCTGCAGTCATTCGCGTTGGATGCATGTGCTGGGCTTCCATGCTGAACATCATTTTCTTTGCTTCCCTCTCCCTTTCAGTTTGACCCTGAAAACACTGGCTACATCAGTACAGAGAAATTTCGAAGCCTCCTCCAAAGACATGGCTCTGAGCTGGACCCACATAAACTGGAAGTGCTTTTGGCCTTGGCAGACAACAATTCCGATGGGAAGATTTGTTACCAAGACTTTGTCAACTTGGTAAGTGATCCTGTTGGGTTGGCAGGTTTAGCACCAGGTTTGTGTGGGTCCGCAAGCAAAAGACCTTTGGAAGGGCCCCAATCCAGACATTCTCATTTTCTACTCCCTGCTCACCTTGCTTTGGGCACCTCTCACCTGACAGGTGTCTCTCGGGGAGGGATGTGGGAAGTCATGTTTAGCCTGGATGGCTTTCGGTCTTCAAAGATTCACTTCTTTCCCCTGCCAACCATTTAGATGAACGATTGCAGTCCCAGTGAGGTCAGAGCCTGGACATGAATTGTCTGTCCTTAAGTGCCAGTTAAATATCACTCCCATAAATGCTGGGTGAGATGTTCAAGAATGTCTTGGCTTTTTAAAAATTCCCTTGCTGATTCCCTTTAAAAATTCCCTTGCTGATCCTTCTTTGCTTTCAAGGCAGGCTAAGCTAAGCAAGCTGCCAAAAAAGAGTCTGGAGGAGGAACCTCATATTCTCTGTGTGTGTCTCTGCCTTACATGCTGGCAAAACTTTTATTTACTAATGTTTATTTCTTTTCTTAAAAACGCTCAGAGCATCTTACATGGGGTTGCTAGCCATGTTCAAAAGTATTTCATTTTAAATGTATGTGCTCTCAAGACTTACTCGTAATTTGTATAACACCAGGTTGTGACTCTGCTAAGATTGGGGGATCCCACAGCAGCAAGCTTCATCTGTTGGGAAAGGAAGAGAAAGGCAGAGGGAGGGAAGATGAGAACGGTATACACAAATGGTTAAAAAATACATCTGGGTCCTGTGATATAGGTTGAAGTGGAAAGTGAGGTCCAGGTTGTGAAAAGGTTGACATTTCATGGCCTTAAGGAAGCCATCCCCCCCCACCCCCCGCAACCAAATAGTCCAGCCAGGCTCAATGCAGGATGTACTTATAACATGGAAGCAAAGTGGGGAGCAGACCAGACTTTAAAATGCTATAAACATTGCCAAGCAACCAACTGGAATCAAACTCATCTGTAATGTGCACCTGTAGATCAAGTGCAAATGCAAATACATACCTTCCATCTGATGTAGGAAGTAGCCTAACTCTCAAAGTAAACCTTTTGGCAATGATGTTTGGTTATACAAGACACTGTTGCTTTAATTTTCAAACTCCTTACCACGAGTTTTTAAAACCTGTGATGCTGAAGCCCTTCCTCATCATCTTCAAACAGGATTGGAATACTTTTGTAAAGCCAAGAACCATTTTGTGTGTACTTCTGCCTCATTTATGGGGTTTTAGTGTTCTCATTTTCTTACAAGCAGGATCACACTTGGTGCACTATAAATAGCATTATATTCTGTTACAGTCATAGTAAGGATTTGCTGTTTTGACATATTGCTTCCTATCACTTCCAAACCTCTCCAACACAAAGCAAGTTGCAGTATCTCAAGAAATAAATGTCCCTTCTCTATGACCATGTCTGGTTCCCTCATATTCTTCCCTCAGCAGCAGGAAACTAAGTAGCTTGAACTTGATTTTGAGTACCCTGAGTGGTTACATACAGCACAATCCAAGAGGGGCAGCCTCAGAGGTCTGTGTATTGGTGGGCATCCCATTGAGGATGGAAGTAACAGAGGGGCATAGGCAGGGTCACTTCTGGGCTTCCTGGCAGTCTGTCTGTCCACAAGGAGGACAGGCTGAGGAGCCACCAGGATTCCTCATATTCCTCTGGAGCCTCACTCCACGCTGAGGCTGCACGTCTGTCTTGGGAGCTGCAGCCAGTGCAGAAAGAACCGCTCCAGGGGGCAGAGAAAGCGCGCTCTGAAGGGCAAAGCTCCAGTTCCAACCTCTGGCCTTGGCCTAGGAGCCAGTGGGTTTGCCAGTGATAGCTCAGCTGCAGGGCCAGAGCAGAAGATGCCCCTGTGAACCTAAACTGAGCTGGCCTGGGTTCAAATTCCTGCTAGCCAGAAAGTTTACAGGGGGAGGCACTGTTATCTCTCAGCCTACCCCATCCGCAGCCTTGTTCAGAGAACAAAAGCAGGGTCCATGCGTATAGTCCATGCTCCAGGGAATGAGAGAGGGAAAATAAGCAATCATGAAGTCATGCAACTTGATCGGAAGAGCTGGTCTGCAAAATGGAAATAAAAGAGGAGGTGAGAATGAATGTGCTTAAGATGGTCATATGCTGTGCTAGGTTTCGTAGTCCAAATGTTCGTCGGGGTCGTGTGGGTACCAGCCGCTGTTGCTATGATACCACAGAGCTCCTTTTGGAGCCCCCGTTTTGTTTCACTTTGCGCTGCGGGGTAGCTTTAAGGTATTCCACAAAAGCTGAGGCAGGCTGTGAGAGCCGGTGTGGTGTGGTGGTAGGACTGTTGGACCTGTGAGCCTGGAGATCCGGGTTCAAGTCCCCACTCGGCAATGAAGCTGAATGAGCGACTTTGGGCCAGTTGAAGACTCTCAGCCCAGCCTACCTCACAGGGTGGTTGTTGTGAGCTGTGGAGCTATGTGAGCTGCCTTGGGTTCCTCACAAGAAGGAAAAAGGCAGGATGTAAATGTCATGTACTAATGATAATGATAATGATCACCTCCATGGACATCAGTGGGGTTGATGAGGTCTGATTTTCTTTTCACTCCAGACAGACTTAGAAGTAAGCCCATAGAATGAATTTACTTCCAAGTACATGTGCATAGATTGGGCAGTTATTTTGTACGGGATTGTTAAGCTGGCCTTTTTGAAGGGAGCTCTTAGCTGCCTATCCAGAGCTTGGTCTCTTTTGGGTTCAGTTCTTTTGAGCACCCCCTGCTTTGGCCAGGCTGAACTCTGGTCTCAGCACCAAAATCTGTTGCTGATCCCATTAGCAAAAGCAAAAATGTGGCTCTGCTGCCGTGCCGCCAAAGCCTCAGGAACACCGCTGGACAGTCCCCTAAGAGCTCTGCTGGAAAGGTGCTGCATTACAATCTCTTCTGGGTTTTTCCCAGTTATCATCTTCTCGGCTGCACATCGCGCTTTCTCTCATTTAAACTTCCATTCTCTTCAGTGAAACCTAAAGCTTTTTGGAAGCTGCGGCATCTGCTGCAAAAGGATGCGCCATTAGCATAATTGAGCCACAAAATGAGCATAATTGTGATGAGCACATCCCTGTGTAATCTTGGATGCTTCGGGGTGTTTTTATGTACATAGTGGGAAGCAGCAGCTGCAGAAGTACTTCCTGCTTTGGTGTTTTTGAGCTGAACTAACTCCAGCTAAAACCAAATGGGCTGACCTGTCAAGTGAACGGGCAGGCTACCAAACTCTGCTGCTTGGCATATTCGCCAGTTCCAACTTCCCACATCCTCTACCTTTGCTTGGCTCTTCTGCCATGGTTCTCTGGCCTGCCTGACTTTAAAGGGGACTTAAATAAGTTCATGGAGCATAAGGCTAGCCATGGCTGCTGGTCACCTCCAGTATCACAGGAAATATGCCTCTTGTATACCAGTTGCTGGGAATATTGCTGGGAAAGCACTATTGCACTCATGTCCTTGTGGTTTTCCCAGAACTGGCCACTGTGGGAGCAGAATGGCAGACTAGAAAGACCTTTGTCCTGCTCCAGAAGGGCTCTTTATGCCTCGATCTATGCATTAATGTATGTGTGGTCCACAGGAAAAGAACCTGTAGGTTTCACTGCAGATATTATTTATTGGTTTTAATTCTACAGCCAGGGTGAATCTGGATTTTATGTATGCTATTTATATGCTCTGTTTATTTATTGTATTGGAAGCCATCCCAAGGCTCATGCGAATGGGACGGCATACAAAAACTCCAAACAAACAAACAAACAAAAAATATGATGCTGAGCAATCCTCAGTGGTGCTGGGTGTACCACTTTGGATAGTCTAGTATTAAACCAGTAGCTTGTCTGTTCTTCAAGCCTAACTTAATTCCAACAGCATTCTTTCGGCATTGTTGTTTGTTCATTCATTTATCGAATTTTATCTGATCCTTCCACCTAATATTTCCAGCACAGTTATAGTATCACTGCCAGTGCAAAGTCATAACATCAGAAAACTGCAATTGAATCATGCAGCAGTCTCCTCCCAGGGTTTAAAGGTTTCCACCTAGCAATAAAAGACATTGGAGTGGGTGCCCAGAAAGCCGCCCAGAGAGGAGGCTTCCCGAGGAATGGTACCACCACCAAGAAGGCCCTGTTCCTGACTCATCAGGCGTGGCATGTCAGATGGTGAACAACAGCAGGGGGAGAGCTTCTAAAGGTTACTGCACTGCATGGTCAAGTGGACTGAGGCAGATTTCACAGAGGCAAACTCAGGTTGCGGCTAAGTGTCTCTTCAGCAAGGAGCAGCCGCTGCAGCATCATGGCTCCCTGACAAATTTACCGCTGTGGTGTGTGTCACATATTCATAGTTTGCTCCCTCTGTGGGTGAACGTGTAAAACAGCTCCACCTGAATATGCAAGATGTCAGGTGAGCTGTGAAACCTGGCCATCCCACTTATGCCAAGGAGTGCCATGTGATACAGGCAGTGGGCATTTGTGGTGTGCTCGGGCAGGAGAAGGACAGCTTGGCTCTTGCAAAGCATCCCACCTATGCTTCAGTCCCCTTCTCCTACCCTGGATCACTTCCCCAGGCAGAACCACAGCAAGGCATGGCAGTGGGGCAACAGCTGCTGCTGGGCGCACTGAAACCATTCGGTCCCCTTGCCTCAGCCATTCCTGAAGTAAGACTTGCGCCTGCTCCATAGATGAGCAGGCCAGGTGTCAGTAGGTGGAAGCACAGGGCAGCTGGCGAGGGCCTAGCAGCACGGTTGCCAGCAGCAAGCCAGCCCGCTGAGCCACCAGCCAAGGAAGGAATGAAATGCTGGCAAGGGCTCCGTCAACCAGAGGAGTAAAAGGCCTGCAAAACGGCAGCGCCATAAACGTCCCTAGCAGGAGGAGGGCTCTTTCAGTTGTGGCACCCAGTTTTCCAATGAACTCCTCCAAGAGGTGTGCCTGGCACCTACTTGGCATTCTTTTCTGGTGCAAAATGAAGAGCTTTATATTCTTCCAGCATTTTAAC